GTTTTCGAGAGCGTTTTCAAAGCGCTGCATTTTCCTTCGGGGAAAACGGCGTCTCAGTGTGGACGGGCGGCCAAAAATGATGCGTTTTCAAAGGAAAGCGCGTTAGTGTGGACGTAGCCTCAGTCCTCAACACTCCTGGCCTGCTGCCTGTGCTGAGGTTGACCAGCTGCTTACTGGGAACAACAAGAATCCACAGCAGGTGGTGACGGCTTCACAGCTCTCCACCGACTCCAGTGGGGACCCCACTCACTGTGAACATCACCTGTTCTTTCCTCCTGACTTCTTGGAGGATGTACAGCTCACACATTAAAAATACAGATTCTATATTATGTTATTGTTTTATAATAAAATTATTTGTACCTGTGTTTACTTTTCTCTCAGCTTATTTTATACGTCCTGACATACAGTAGAGAAGCAGAACACTCTGTTATATACACATTTGTTCTATTCTGGATGATAAATACACAAACAGAGGGATTAACCATCCTGAGGGTGACTGTAAGTGAAGTCATTAAATGTACTAATTTATTATATCACCCCTAATCTCCAGCTACCAACGACTGCCGTTCCTAAAACAAGCAAATGAACAGTACTGAGTCATTAGCTTAAACTAAACACGACCAGGCGTCTGCACCGTCTCATGCAGAGCACACTCTGCTTGTTCACACATTATTTATAAGTTCAAGCAGTGCCTGTTTCCGTAGGCTTTGATGCTGCAGGTTTAAGTCAGTAACCAATGTTAAACGTGCATCATTGTTTATCTCTCTGCCAGGACCTTACACTAACTTACCTAAATGCACCTCAGCGTCAGTGTCATATACAACAAATCAAGATGAATGCATGAGGCGAACGTACACTGGTTACAGTTTCAATTAAATTTCCACTGACTGATGAAGCTCAGTGACCTCGAATGAGTTTTCACACGTTCAGATGACAGGAAGCATCATCCCGATGTCCCGTCCACAGCTATGTTATGACGCCAAAAACTGAACTCGATGTTTCGGAGAATAAAGGTCGCGTCAGACCATCTTTTGCAAAGGGAGAAATATAGACGAGGTTTTTGCAAAGAAAGACAAATACGGATAATAACGGCTGTGAACAGGAGCCCAAAGAACAGCGTGAGCGTGCAGGCAGACTGGCTTTGCCTGTTTCCTGTTTTTAAACACGTTTAGGCCCCATACAGTTTTAAACTGTGTTTCTTTAGTGACATAGTGAACACGTCAGACTCTTATCCTCCGTGACATTCATTCAACTTTCACGTCGCAGCTGTTTTTCAATTATGACCAGACTCTGAGAAAAGAGGACCGGCAACATTCAATGCTGAAAGGTTTGAATTTATTGACAGCCATGCTTCTTTCCACCTGATAAACACAA